AGCATCTTCACCATAACTGAGCATATCTCTAGCTGAGAAGGACTTATTCACAGTATATGTGGTATTGCTGTGCTCACAGTTTTGGTGTTTTCTTGGTTTTTAAGGAAATGGGGTATTTGGGAAAGCAGAAGAGTGTATTCTGTTTAAGCATCTGGTGACCATCTTCAGGCATATGAGGTGGTTAGAATGGCCTTGAATTATTGTCGTATACAGATTCTAGTTTGATAAATAAGGGGTAATCAGCATTTGCGTATTTCATATTGGTTTGTATGTAATAACACTGAACTTGGAATGCCTGGAGCATTTAAAGATAACAGCCTGCCATAATGTTTTGTTTTTTTTTTTTTCCTGTGGGCTAATAAATTGAGACCTTGTGTTTAGATACAACTTTTAGCAGGTCTGCTGAGGAGCGAGGATGTTTGAAGCATATTCTGTGACTCACCCAGATCTTTACACGTGCTTTATTTAGTCTTAAATCTCACAGACGTTGTTACTGCTTTTGAAGTGTGTGTGGGGGAAGTTTAATGCTGCACTATTTAATGCTGCGTCCATTTAAGGATTTTCAGACGTAAAAGAAATGAGTTTTCATGTCTCTTATTTTCCCGTACTTACGAACTTTTATGATTCCTTGGCATTCGTCAGGAGGAAAGTAGATGGCAAGTATGTTCTTGAAGAATTCTAATTATTGCTATTTCAGGTGGAAGAGAGACCCTTAACTAGACACATGAGATTTTTAGGATGGCAGATTTGCTTAAAAACCATTTTTATGTCTTTTAAGGGGGATGGAAGCAGGGAATTGACCACCTGGTATTTTTTGCTTGTTTGTTTTTAGGAGGTGGAGAATTAGTGGAGGTTGAATAAGAATGAGTCTTCTGAAGTTTTTTGGATGATATGAACAGTGGTCTTTGTTTTCATTGCTATTTTTCCTCTCGTAAAACCAGAGAAACAAGTCAGTGGAATTCCAGAAAACATCTATTTCCGTTTTCTGACTTTTATTTCCATGGAGAATAGATGGAGGAGAGTGCTGAGGAGTGAAGGGCATGAGTTGACACACGTGTGTCGATGTACCTACCTACGTGTGCGTGTGTGCGTGCATGTACTGACACAGTTCCAAGTTTATTTGCCTTTTTCCTTTCAGAAATTCTCTTTAACCTGGGCTGTCACAACATTGCGACGTGCTGATGCAAAGAGAACTGCGGGTTTAGATGAGTGTTCAGTTTAACTGCTCACAATAGTGCCATTGTATTCATGAATTTCTGTTTTTTGTCTTTAGACTTCTGGGTGATCTGGTTTGTAATCCCACAGGTTACAAACGGGAGGTGGTTTTTAATCCACCAGAGAAAATAGGAGACAGTTGAAGATGTCTGTGAAGTGATGTCTTGTCGAAGAACGGGCCTGGCTTTTTAACTCTTAGGAACAGCTTAAGATTTGTTTGTGTGTTTTTAAGAAGCCAAGTAGAGCACTACATTTGGCTAAATAATGCATCTAGAAAAATCTTGAAACTTTGCCAGATGAAGTAAAACAAAACACAGTTTATTTTGCTGACTTAAATCACCTAGAATAAGAATTTGTGTGCTGTGATTTAGCCCATTCAACATTTGCATTGTGATATTGGTACTGATAAAGAGGTTTTCAGTACTCTGACTCTGAGGGGTAAATGCCCCAAATGCACGTTCTCCAGCCCTGCTGGGCTTTGCGCTCGAGATCTGAGCTCTTGTTCTCTGGCTGAGACAAAACGAATCTGGAGGAGTGTCTGCTGAAACTTGCTTTTACTGAAGGAAAACATTAAAAAAGTAATTAATAGTGTAGCATGGTAATTTTTATTCTTTGCAGGTTAAATGCTTTCTCCTTAAAACTTCTTCACAGATAAATTAGCCTGCGTGATGCTGTGCAGACGTTGAGCTGAAGATACCCAAAATATACTGGAACTGTGTTTCAGATTTCCTTATCTCAGCTGCAGTTACGACTGCAAAACAAGAAGCTTTTTACAGACCTTTGTAGTTACAGAAAGAACTCAATTTAAAGGAGAAAATGGTGCTTTAATTTTATTGTCCAACCACTGATTTTTTTTTCCTGTGGAATCAATTATCTCCTAATAGATTGCTATTTGTGTGCCTTGCTGTTAAATATAGCCCCGTTTTTTTTTAATTTGGAATAAATCTGGTACAACCTGGCGTGTTGCTAATAAGGCTTCTGTATGTGAATTTGCAGGGTAGTTTAAGGCTCGCACAAGCTCTAGCTTTTGAGCTAGTCTTCTGAGCTTTGTGTAGTCTGTGGGAATCACGGTATAAATCCACTTTATGTACTTATATATCACTTGAAGGCTAATTGTCGGGGTTTCTTCCTGTGAAGCAATGTTACCACAAGTAACTTTTTTGTGATTTATCACTTAAATTCTAATATAGTGAATGTTCTTTAATTGAAGAAAAACCCGCATTGCTAATCCTGCTTGAAAAACACACTTCAAAGTTCTGAACTGTGGCAGAAACTGCCTGACAATATTTTTCCGAGTCATAGAAAGAAACGTTTTGTTTGTGGCATTTATTTTGTTGGTGGCTCTTTCTCAGTTTAATATTCCATAGCGAAAGATGTCGAACTAATTAAGCATTAAAAGAACGAGCGGTTAGCAGGTATAATGTTGTTAGACTCCAGTTAATGCGAATGTGACCGTGACCTCCCAGATAGATCAAAGACTAATCTGTCTGACAGCTACAAGATGGCAGAGCTCGCCACGGGCCTTCTGCTGCTGCGTGCTGAAGCGATTTGTCTGTAAAGCATGCCTGATAGCTAAGAGTATATTTTTAAGGATGAACAGGTAAAAGTAAAAGGCTGTCTTTTGACATTTTAACTAATCCCTTCTAGCCTGTGGTTTACTGCACATTTAGGATATTTGCTAGCAGGAGAGACTGGCTTTTTCACATATGTAACATGTCATTTTGAATCGGGCGTTGATTTGATGCTTGATAATGTAAGGGTTATACAATGAAATAGATTCTGATTGCATTAAAATGACATGCCCTGGCCTTTTACCTTTAGTAGGCTTCTAATGCAAACTGAACTCTCGGCAACGCAAGTTGTTGTCTCGTGCTGAGACATGATCATTTAAGTGAGAAAACAGAACGTTTCTTTTCTGTTAACCCTTTTTTAATTAAGAGAGAAAAGGAGGGATTTGAAGATACATTACACATCTTGGCTGAGAGGGTAGGGATTTTTATATAATTGGAGAAATAAAATGTCATCCTTGATGTTCTGTACACCCGTGTCTGTTTGCGTAATGCTCACATGTATTAGAAGAATGCAGAATTACTGTATTTTGTTCACAGGGTAACGCAGTACACTGCAGGTGGTCCAACCTGTTTGTTTCCTCCTGTTACTTCAGTGGTTTCATGCACATAATTACAGATTTTGTAGTTTTTATCAGCGTAAGACACGCAACTAGTTATTCTGATACCGTTTTGAGCAGCCTGCTAGCGAAGAAAGAAACGGTGGTAAAGCTACCTTTGTCAAAACTGGCCAAAATCTTACTGAAAATGGAAATTCTTCCCAAGAGGAAATTGTTAGAGAACTTACCAGGACTAGAAGACAAATGCAAAGTATATACGGGAGCATATGGCCATTGATTACGTTTTAAAGACTTCAGTGAAGTTTTCCAACATCATACCTCATTTCAAATGGCGAGGAGTATCGTTTGGTTTCTCCAGGTTGTATTTCCTTTTGTAGAAATGCATAGACATGTTTAAGTTCCTTTTTAAGGAATAGTTTTAATGTTCATAAAATGTTCAGAAGAAATAGTCGTCTGCTTTGAAAATTACAAAGGAAACCTCACGTGCCAGTCAGTAAATTCTGAGTGACTGGAACAAATATTAAATCTGTGAAATCAAAATGAATTTCCTTTCTGGCAGTAAAGATTGAATTTGTAAATTTGACAGGCAATTTAAAGGGCATAAGTACATAAAATAAAATTTCTTTTCCAAATGCAACTTGAAAGTTACCTGTCAGAAGAGGTTAGAAGTCTGCTGTTTTCTCTCCTGAAGCGTGTCCTTTCACTTGTCAGTTTAGAAAGGTTAATACTGTACAAAAGAGCAACTGAAGGACCCTTTTTGGTGCTGTTTTATGTTTGTTTATTAAAAAAAAAATCATTTCAGTCACGTCCCTCTCAATAATAACAAATTCTTTGGTATATGTTGGAACCGTGTATAATGCCCAGATACGAATTCATGTTCAACTTCAGATCAGTCATTGCACGTGTTTTTATCCATATGATTAGAAAAGGGAGGCAGAGGATTTCTTCTGCAGCTGCTATCAGATGTGCTGTTGCAGCAGCGAGGAAGGAGCATTGTTAAAGAAAAGAGGAGCGTGCTCTCGTCTGCCTTGCGCTAGCCCATGGGCCTGCAAGCCCTGGCTGCTGCCTTTGCTTCACATTGAGCCTTTGTTTCCAAACCACTGAAGGTGATGCCGAGCCTGGAGTAGGGGCTGTTGGCTTCTGGTACTTTGGCGAGGCCACTCTGTCCCTAAAGCACTTTCTTAGCTTCTGAAGGACAAGGGGTTATGTTTGCTTAACCCTCACTTGAGAAAAGTGTGGTCTGGTCCCAGCAATGGGTTAGGAGTCAGCATTGTGATAAAGGAACCCATAAGTATCTCCATCGTATTGTTTACTTCCAGATGAGCAAATAAAACTGTGGTCTAGTTAGTCCATTTGCTTCTATCTGGGTTTTTTGCTTGTGTGATCAGCTTATCCTTCTCTTGGTAGCACAGACGTTTGGATAAATATGTGGTGGTTGTGCTATTCCATATAAATTATTGACATAGTTCACATGTTAAGAATGAATTTAGAAGCATGAAAGCTGTAATTGGTTCATGTGCAAAATACAAAGGCAGAACACTGAAGCACACTTTAGATATGCATGTCTTTAATCAATGTTTGCTTCGTTTTCCAATATTTAGAGTATTTTCTTTTCAGTGTCGTTATTAAAAGCACTATTTTATGATTTCTTTCTTAGGTTGAGTTAAAGAGGAAGTACAACGACCAGCACAAAAATACAAGAGGCCTTTTACCAGGCAGTCAGTGGTACGAAATTCAGGCTTATAGGGCTCTGAACCAAGCCCTGGGAAGGTGAGATGAACTGAGCATAAGTAAAAATACATGTACTTATAGAACTTCTTTTGCGACATCTTTAGGGTTTAATTGCTCATTGTTAACACAAAGGGGATAAATCAGATCCGCAAAATCATTTTGCAGAAATCAGGTCTTCACCTCCTCTGTACTGGCAACTGCCTGGTTTTAAGTCTGTTGTGAACTGGAGCGTTGTTATAATTCGGAGTTTTTGTTTTACATTTAAAATCCACTTCGGTTTGGTTGCAGATTTTATTGCTTGTAGTCCAGACAGGCAGAAAGGAAAGCATTTGCAGAGACCAATACTTCCTGAGCTTATAAACCAAATGAAAATTCTTAGGTCTTTTCAAATGTACTAATCGGTCAGACTCTTGGTGGGCTCAGAACAGTTGTTCGATGTTTAGCCTACACGTATTTCTGAAAGGGAGAAATAGCAGGGGGGGTTCTCAGACCTTTGCAAAGGTCAGTTCAATTATCATGCTCACTGATCTCTTTCCAGGTTTAGAAGAAGGGCTGTAGCTTCCTCTCTCAAATGGAAAAATTCCCCCAAAATTTTATCAACGGGATAGAATTAATTCATCCTTCTCCAACAAAATTTATCATACACAGATAGAGATAGCTAGCTGTTGGCCCGTTCTCTCATAGATGCCATGTATCTGTTGTAGATAGATAGAGGTGCAGACACAGGTTTATAGACAAGAGGAGAAATATCAGCTGGAAGCTCGTTTGAATTAGACCTAATACTAATGTGAGGACATAAATGTAGGTTTAGAAAGAAAATTGAGAGAAAATAGTCTGCAACAGCAAAATCTCATTGTAACCTCTTGTTACGGGTCTGATCTCTTAGATTCTTCATTGGAGAGTAAGAGCTTTCGTTGAAATTTGTTAAGAAAAATCTGTGAGTTGTGGAATAGTGGTAGTAAGAAATTAATTGGAGGTTTTGTTGCTGTGAAATAAGTATTAAATCTGACTTTAGAAAACTGCTTATTGTATAATTTATCATTTGAATGAAATTGTTAGTCTAAACTTAAATGGAGAACGTAGACTTCTCTTCTGACATAAATGCATAAATTGTACGCGGTGCCATTAGGCTAAGCTCTTACTAAAGGGAGCTCTGGTGAAGGAGGACTGCGTACGAGGACTACTTCTATAAAACCAGAACAATCTACTAAGTTCCACAGCAGAGAGGCAAGCTGCCTACTGCAGAGCTGAACAGGAGCACGGCAGTCTCCTGTCTGGCACTATTCTCTTAGTTTAGTGCTGTTACATCACCTGAAGCACCACAGGTCCAGGAAGTGACCCAGCAGCCTGGGGCGAGCGGCAGGTGGTGTGTGTGGCCAGGTGACGCTCGTGCTGTGAATTCCTCGCAGCACTACTTTTTCTAAAAGTGTGGGGTGTGTGTCCAGTGGGCAGAATTCATCTAAACTGCGAGTTCAAAGAACATTTATTAAAGCAACTGAAAGAACATTTATTACAGCAATGAAAAAGTGAGAAGTTAGAAGAAATCTGTTTCCTAAAGATGTTTTGATAGCTTTTCTTATCATGGAGAGCCAGCCTCGTGACTCCTATTTTAAGTCCTGACTCTGATACCCTTGTGGTTTTACGTACCTTTGTAAACATCTTCTTCAAAAGTTACCCTCTTCGTATGCAATGAAGTTGTTAATCCTAAAATACTACCAATGGATTCTTTTCCGTATTTCATTTTTTATCACTAGTCTTCAATATTTTTATTCATGAGACAGTATAGAAATCCAACCAATGTCTGAAATAATATCAATGCATGTGAAGTGACTGCGGGATTATTTCTGTAGACCTCTAACAGCGAAATTATGGATTCCACACAACTTTGATCTGTAGCATTTCTTTACTAAAGAGAGTTAGGAACAACGTGTGGGTTAGAAACAAAAAAGTACATAGTTATTCAAAAAACAGCTTGCAGTGGCATCTGCCTTTTTTCTTTTAAACTGTGACATGTTTTCTTATCACTATTTATGCTTCCCAGCTGAGAGCAGAAAACAGATGACATGATTTGATTAACTGCTGAATATGTGTGGGGATTTTGTAATTTATCTGTTTCCATATAGTAAATTCAAAAATTGAAGGAAAACTAAGCTGCCATGACATTTCTAACAATTTTTTAATGCAAAACAGTAGGAGAACATTTCCTATGTATTTCTGTATATTCTAGCTGACTCATTACAATTCCTGTTGTCTGATCCTCAGTTGTGGGGTTTGGTTTTTTCCATAGGCACTCTAATGATATCTACACTCTTTTTTGTTGTTCACTTACAGGTGTATAAGACATAGGAATGACTGGGGTGCTCTTATTTTAGTTGATGACCGCTTCCGGAATAACCCAAATAAGTACATAACTGGTACGGTGTAAAAATCCTTCTGGGAAAGTTCCTAATTTTAACAAATAATGTAAAATCAAGATACCAGAAATATAGTTATACAAATCCAGATGAGTAGGAAAGGTCATAATGAAATATATCCCCTGAAACTGAAAACTCTAAAATGCACCCTGGTGTATGGCACGTTTGTTAAATAATGACTCTTAATCTTTGTGTATTAAATGTATAATGGATGTGTACATATGTGTGCGTGTATATATATGTAGGTATAAAAAACAGTTACTAGATTTTTACTGGGGTTTTGGAGAAGTCAGTGTATACTTTCTGCCTATAGGGAGCCTTAATGTTTAAGATTAGCAATGGGAGTTTAACATTCTGACCTTTTAAGGAAGAACAGCAGAAGGTTGTGCTGTTTGGAACCACCGAATGCTCAATATGCAGAACGTATTTTCTATTTATAGCTTTATACTGGCTCGAAATAAATGCAGATAGAATAAACCAAGTTATGCACACTATCTTAATCAATAGGTAAAGCTAAATCATTCCAGGCAGCTGCTTAGGAGTGCGTTACGTTCCCGTTTTCCCTGCCCTGCTGAGGAGAGCTGGGCAGGCGCTGTGCGCAGGTAATGTTGCGGGCCGGGCAGCAGGTGGAGCTCGGTTGCTGCAGTGGGAGTCGAACCGCTTTGCTCACGGGTCTGTCGCAGCAACTGCCTGAACTCGTTACCAACCTGCCTGTACAGAGCGTTTGCAGGGTTGGGGTACTGGTTACTCATATGGAACACTTGGTCTAGATCATATGGTTTTGTAGTCGCACTCGTATTTTTTTTTTTTTCTCCTTAGGATTGTCCAAATGGATACGTCAGCAAATCAAGCACCATGAAAATTTCAGTAGCGCACTTGAGTCCTTGCAGGAGTTTGCGCTAAGAAACCAGAAAGGCATCGACTGTTCGTCACAGGGCAGCAGTGAGTTTCTCCACGTACCTTCAAATTCGAAAGACCTGCCACAAGCCTCTCAACAGGAGGCAACTATTCATCTGTCACCAGATGTTCCTGCTAAAAGTGAGGAGCCAAATTTGGATTCGGAAATTAATTTTACTAAAACCGTACGCTCAGTTAATCCTACAGCGTCAAATCAGCCAAGTAACAGCATGGAAACAACGAAACCAAGTATGTTCGCTTCCTGCGATTTTAAAGATGTGAAGTTGCATCTTTTTTTGAAGAAACAAATGCTTTTTAAAATTTAAAAATACAGAAATGCTATGGTGCAAAATGATAATTATTCACACATGGACAGGAGCTGTGCTCAACAGACTGAAATGAGTTGCTCTCCCATACGGTTGTCTTGAAACGATTGATAATATTTGATAACTTTGTAGTGCAATCAAAAATGTTTTTACTTACATTTCTTTTTCCATTGAAAACTATGAAGATAATTTAAAATATATTTGAAACACATAAAGATTAGCTTTGCTGCAAGATTGATTCAAGCTACAGCTATTGTTTAAATGTTGGTGTGAGACACCTTTCATATAACCTTTTGTGGAACCAGCTTTACCAAGTATAAATATCTATCCATTCCTAAATTTTAGGAAAGCTTATTTATTTCATTTCAGGCAAGAGAGATGTAAGTAATACAAAAGCACAATAATAAACAATAACAAATTTAAAATCCAGTTGTATTTTACCTTTACATATGCCAGTTAATCTATTAATTTAATTACGGCAATTCGTGTGCAAAGATAGTTGTAACATCTGGGCTTTTGTTTGTATTGGGTCTTAATGAGTATTATAAAATAACTGTAAACCTAATAAAACAGTCGTAATTTTGATGTGCTACACATGCTGTAAATCAGTGGGGGGAAGGCATATACAATTAATTAATGTTTTGTGATTTTATTTTTTTCTCACAGGTGGCCAGAACGTTGATGTAGAGAGTCATTCTCACCATGTAACACAGAGAAGAAAACATTTGGACTCCACGCCCCAAATGCCAGCAACTAAAGGAGAGAGAGAGAAGATTGGTTGGACTAATGCTGATACTACCGAAGAGCAGCGCTGCTGTCAGCCGCTGGCTTCAACACCTTTGCCTGTCGCCGAGAACTGCACGTCCACAGCGAGTAGCAAACAAAAGAATGTGAATAGGGCTGGTGAACTTACTGCTGGTATAAATCAGTGCCAGTCATCATTAATTTCAGAACATAAACCAAGTGTACCAGAATCGTGTTTCGAAACAACTGGTTTTCCAGTTACAAGTACTGAGGCTCCAGTTGCTGAGGAGCATCCTGATAAGCTACAGGCTCAGGCTGAGCCCTGTGGTGAGTTGCCATCAGCAGGAGGGAAATCTGAACTTCCAGTGTTAAATGTCTCCACAGAAGCTGAAGATGAGGATGAAAGTATCTACTTCACACCAGAACTCTATGATGATGATGTAGAATCAGAGGAAGAGAAAACCAGACCTCTGGTTCCAGCCTGTAGTCCAGATGAGAAGCGGATTGAATGTGGAAACTCCACAGTCGCTGATGATCTTGTTGCAATCAACGCCTCAGAAACACTAAATATGACAAATAAAATGATTGATGAGGATGAGGGCAGAAGCACAAGCTTACATGGAATAATGCAAAATCAGAAGAGTAAGAATAGTGCAGTTAATAATGTAGAGATGACTAGTGGAGTAGAAGCAGAGCAGATAGCATCTCAAGAGATGGACACCAAAAAACGGAAAATCAGTCTTTCCAGATCACGAAATAAAGGTGTGTCATCTTTTCTGTTGAACAATACTAGCGCATAGGGACAGCTGCTCGAGGAAGTGTAGTGAGCAGCCTTGACAGCACAGCCTCATGCTAGAGCAGCGAGGGCTTTCCAGTTCTCTTTTAACATAGGCAACTATCAGACTTGATTTTTCATTACATTTTTTGGTTTTGCACTGTGAAAATTATTCAACGTGCAGTTTTCTATAGGTGTGATTAAGATTCTTCATCCTAACTGTGTGGCAAAAGGATGTCACGAGTGGAAATTCTGACTAGAAGCCCAAGTAGCATTTGACTGGTAATTATAGGCTGAGGAGGTTTGTCTATTACAGATTTAATTAATCTGCCATTAAATACAATCAAACAAATTAGGTTTTTCTCAGAAAGCAAAACACCCACATAATAAAATGATGGTCTTCTGTGTTTGTTAGGCCTTTGCAGATCGAGTAATATGGTAGATACAGAAATAGATGTATTCTTCAGTACTTTGTTTCCCTCAAATTTCATTTGTCAAAATGTCTGTCAGGAGCTGTGCAGTAGCAGCAGCAGTGTAGTAGTATTTGAACAGTTCAGTGATGATGAGAACTGCCTTCAGAGGGCTTTCTTTGTTTTATACCAGCTTGAGATTTCTTTAAAATTTTCTTTTGTGTTTCTTTTCCTCAGATTCCGTATGTTTTCCTATCAAAACGTGTACTCATTTGTATGCCCTACAAGTCACATTTTCTGTGCAATATCCAAGAATGTAAATTTGTATATAAAAGTATCTTAAATCCTCCTCAGTCTACTTTTTTTGAAGTATTATAAACATTTCCATCATTTATTGCAATCAAACCAGCGAGGATTTTGCTGTAATAAAACATGCTATGCCTGATTTTTCCAAGATTTCCATCATATATTAATATGAAGATGCAGGATTTTTTATAATTTTATGATGGGTTCGTAAGTATTGATATATTTTGACTGAGAGCAGAGATGATATTGTTATCTGGTCATTTTCCACAGTTCATCTAAATGGTTTTGTTCATATCAATAGGGTTTAATTGCACCCTTTTTTACACAATAAATGCATCTTTATAAAATTAGGTGCTCTGTTTGCAAGAATGGCAAGAATACTGTTCAATTTATTTAACAAGCCTTGTCTTGTGGTGCTTAGTGTAAGGCTTTTGTTTGAACTTTTTGTAATGTGGATCCTACGTAAGGGTCATGTTTTCCTGGTTTAGGTTTCCTGGTATTCACTTAATCATTGGAGCCGATGGTTTTGAACTGGTTGATAAAGGGCAGAAGCAAGGTCTTGTAGTGACTGCAATTTAAACATCTAAATGTAAAAATATTTAATTTAGATTTAGGTAATTGATTATCAGGCTGTAGTGGGGTAGGCATGGTTCTGTTTGTGACTGGCTTCTGGACTAGAACTCTCCCTCAGTGAAAGCTGAGGCAGCCTGTGGTAGCTCCTCAGGAGTCTTTAATAGCTCAGTTTTCTTAAAACACATCTTCTGTACCAAAGCACTTTTTATGTTCATGTATATCTAAATGGATAATAGAAATCACTTCGGCTTTGTGGCTTGTCTGCTCATCTCATAGGTCACTGTCTCTTGTTTGTCTTGCAGAAGATTTGTCTGTCTTTAAATCCGTAACATTAAAAAAAAAAAAGAAAATCCATCTTCCTTTCCTTATCTGGAGCAGATTGTTCCTTTCTTGATCTTGTGTTGCACCTTGCTTTGATTAGAAATCCTTTAAGACTTGGCCTTCTTCATGTTAAATATTTTCCATTAATTTACAACGTCTGCATTTTACATAAACTTAGTCCTGAACGATTATTCTTTAAAATACACATTGAAATATCAGCATTTAGTCTGCTAGATGCTAGATTTTTCTTGAAATGTCTCTGTCTACAGATTTCCCTGATTCTGACCGTAGCTGTGTTGCTTGGACAACTGAGGGACAATAATCCCTTGTGTTACAGCTGGGGCTCTGGGAGAGCTGGTGGTGAGGGGTGGACAGTTTCCTTCAGTGTAAAAGCTGTGTAAATTCAATCTTAATTTTTCTTTATATCTAACTAACTGTGATATTTAATGTTAGTGGTAAGAATATTCTTTATTGCTGTAGTTAACGTATTTATGGTGATTCCCAGTATGAAATCAAATACTCTGCTCCCCAGCCTACAAATAGAAGGGAAGTCACTGTACAAACTTTCCTAGAATTATTGGTCTGGACTTGCTGAGTTTATAAAAGCTGAATTATCAAGAGTTCCTCCCATACTTCAAGGTATGCTAGGTAAGATATCTTCTGTCTAAAATAATCATAACATCTTGAATTTATTAAAGGTTTGAAGGTTCAGAGACAATACAGACGAAGAAGAGCTTCAGTTAGGCAGAGTGCCTGCGCCCGTGGAAGAAAGGTACCACAGATATTGAATGCAGTGCCTGTTGAAGTGGCTGCTCTTGAATGTTAAAGTGCAAGGGAAATAATCTTTTAAGTAATGCAGGTGACATTGTTTATTCATGATCTGCATGATTTGCTCTAGATCTTTGCAGTTTACACACTCGATAGATGCCTTTGCTCTTGCAACAAAAGAGCTGGCTGTTTCCCAGTCCTGCTGACACAGGTAGAAGCTGCAGGTAGGGGCTGCCGACAGAGTCCACCTCGTGGCTCATTACGGGTGTGACTCTATTTCAGTACAGGCAGTGCTTCCACGTTCTGGCTGGTACGCAGTTCCTAGGGCAGGACTTGCGATGTGTAAGAACCTAATCACACTGAAACTCGGCAAGAGTTGGGCACCTGCCTTTCTAGGCTCCTTTGCAGTGTTGCAAATTATGTCTTCAATAGCCTGAGTGTCATAGGCTATTAAATACCTTATATTTTGTATGAAAGTATTTCTGTTTAAGTTAGGTTAAGCATTTTTAGCATAATATATATTTTAATTATTAGCTAATATAAATTACAAGCAGTGATTCAAATATATTTCTTTGAGCATTTCAGGGAGTATATTTCTCTGAAGCAGTTTTAATGTATTTCATGTTCATATTTAAATGCTTTTGATGTACATAGTTACTGTATGCAAACTAGTATTTACAAGAATGTGTGTATTGCCTTGTTACAAGGAAAATCACCACGAGCCTTGCAAGAAAGGGCTTTATTGTATTGTCTGTGGAGCTGAAATACTGCCAAAAGCAGAGGGTAAGAACTATGTATCTGGCCATTCTTTTTTGGTTTGGAGACTGGAGGGGGGATAGTTTAGAATAATCAATTTCTCCACTGGATATGGTAGCTCCATAAACTGATGGAGAGGTGTGCATAAGACACAGAGCTGAGTCCTGTTTCTAGTGCAGAGTCTTGTTTGGCAGCCCCTGTGCTATGGGACCCTTAAAGATCCCCTCCCCTTCTCTAAGGTCCCTTCCACTGCCCCAAAAGCCCATTAAGTGATGAGCTGGTATGAAAGAAGTGACAGTAGAAAAAAACCTGAACCTTCTCAAAGCCATCCTCTTCAGCCGTAGGAGTGAGGAAGTCGGCAGGAGCTGCGTGCCAGCGGCTCGTGACTCGTTATCTAGGCTGGATGAAATCAAGAAAGCACAAGTCCTTTTCGCACTCCAAACCTGAGCGGAGGGAGGGTGGGAGAGATCCCTGTTGCTTCCGGACCTGTTGAAGTCGTACGCCAGCTGGCAAAGTCCACACTGCCTGCCGGGTGAAGGGAGGCCACTTGTTGCCTCTCTGTTTTCCCACAACAACCGCAGTGTATTTCCTTTAAGTCTTGTGTAATCACATCAGCAGGTTTTCATTCATGTCCTTCATAACCAGCATCCTCATGTCTTTGCAATTTGGTATAGAATCTTGACATGGAACCGCTGTGTGTTCAGTGAAAGCATTCGGAATCACTGAGGTGCTTAAAGGCCTGCAGTTTCCAAGGTGTCTGTTGTCAGCGAGAAGTTTTAGGCTGTTTAAACTGAATCTCAGATGGCAGTTGATTGATGAAAGTTTAAAAATCTGCCATGGTTTGGAGAAAATGAGAAATAAATTACTTTATTCAAAGTGGATTCAAACTCACTGGTCAATTTGGGACTAATAACAAGGGGAAAATCATCCGTTGAAAAGTAAATTTTGGACATGTTAAAAAATTTAAATAAGGCTTTCTTCCACTGTGCATTTACATCAATAGAAGTCTTTTCACTGCCTTTGGTGGGTATTGGATCGGGGCCTAAATTACCATCTTGTAAATGTGGAAAGTCTGCAGAATGTTTGAACAGTACTGTATTCAAACCCATGTATATATATGTCTTACACTCCACTTTTTAAATTGTAGGAATTTTGAGAAAAGCTTGCTACACTAATAGCGAAATGCAAATAATCTGGAAACTCTTCAGAAATACTCAAGTTAGAAGGAAAGAATCCATTAATAATTGCACGTGTGAGCTAGATGCGATTTCAGAGCTTGATAATATGATGGTGATCATCTCGGATGCTGCAAGTCTTGGTCATCTTAAAGAAACTTTGACAGTTTATCAGCTGCCAGTGAAAAGCGAAGGTAAATCTGAGGGAGAAATGCCGCGTAACATTTGTCAGGTCCTTTAGCTATAAATTAAATGCAACAGCAGTGTTGGACCACCCGAACACTGCCCCCTCCCTGGAGGTGTTCAAGGCCAGGTTGGACGGAGCCTTGAGCAGCCTGATCTAGTTGAGAGGTGTCCGTGCCCATGACAGGGAGGTTGGGCTGGATGATCTCTAAGGTTCCTCCCAGCCTAGGCCAGTCTAGGATTCTATGATGTGTAGCCCTTGAGCAGCATTCAGGTGACAGAGACCAAATGTAAAATACTCACTCCTGTTTGTGTCTGAGCAGCTCAGTGTTAGGACGGCACAACTGAGCATACGTGGGTTTTGTCACAAGGACTCTGTTATAAAAGTTACCGAGTCTGTGGGGATCAGTAAACATTCTTTACTGTGGTACCTTCTGGCAAAATAAGAGTGTTAAATTTAGAAATGTGAAGTGCAACTTGTGATCTTTAACTTATTTTAAAATATCTCTCAATGCCTCTGTAAAGCACTTTTT